CCTGATCGAGGAGGATCTGGCAGATGTCCGGGGTGAAGTGGCGCAAGGCAGCCAGGGACTTGCTGAGGATTTTCAGGAGGCTGTACTGCACCGTCTGGAGGGCCTTCCGCTCCGCCACTTCCGTCTCTGGGCTCGGAGGCTTGGCGGATGCCGGCGGAGGGCGCTGGACCCGAGGCAGGACGGCCGACGGGAGAGACTCGCCGTTCTTGGCCTGAAAAGAAGTCAAAGGAGACCGTTTTGTGGTGATGTGCCCAAGTCTGGTTCAGATTTCGGGCACTCGGGGGAAGGACCCCCGTTATCTGTGGGATCGGTAGCCACTGATCCGCAGTTTGAAAATATTAAACACATTAAAAGGATCCCCCACCGTTAGGCTAGGAGACCGTTTTGTGGTGATGTGCCCAAGATTTTGGGCACTCGGGGAAGGACCCCCGTATCTGTGGGATCGGTAGCCACTGATCCACAGTCTGAAAATATTAAACACATTAAAAGGATCTCCCACCGTTAGGCCCCTTCCAACTTCCAACACCCCCCAGCCCTCAAAGTGGCCCCCTCGGTGGAAATCAGCCCTCCTGGTGCCTTACCTGCAAGTAATGCTGAAGCATTTTACGGCTGTGGAGAAGCGAGGTGCAGGCTTGACACAGGTAACACAGGTTCACCTGGAAAAGGCAAGAAAAACACGGTTGTTCAACCCGTCGTTCCATGGGAAACATACGGGACGGCAGGACTCCTGCACTTCTGCGGTTTCAGCGACACGCCTAATGATGGGACGTTTTTTCGTAAGCGATGCTCCTGGGTCCGAAAGGCTTCTTTGCTCCCGTCCTGTCCCAGCAGGATGGGGGGAACCTTGGGGGACAAGGAGAGGAGCGCGCCTTCGCTTACCTGTACGTCTCTCAGGAGCTGCGGGAGGTGAAAATGCCACTCTTTCATGAAGTTAGAAAGCTGGAGAAGAAACCCTACGGTGTGGTCTGCTTCTTCGAGGCAGGCCAGACTCTGCACCGTCCGGACTGCATTCAGGCACTGGGGGGGGGAGAGAAACAAGGGAAAATCCAGACCTTAGAAACAAGAAACTCCCCCCTCTCTCCAGATATTTGCAGCACAGTAGGAACCCCCCTTATCCGAGGGATCCATATCCGACAATTCACTTCTCGTGCCACTCTACAATGCTCGGAAGCAGCTTTGCCTTTTGGAGAGGGGCCCAGACGCCGTTTCATACTAACAAAAAGGGTGTTCATGACGAACCTGGAGGATCCTTTCTTGATGGACCCCCACAAAGTCCAAGGCGTCCGTAAGGAAATTGTAGCGGAGGGTTTTCAGAAGGCGCTCCATCAACGATACGGAGAGGCGATAGACTCCAGGCCAGGAAGGGGCATCCAGAGATTTCCGAGAGGCAGCCGGCGCCTGAACAGACAATCAGAGAGTTTAGGGCTGTAGATGTCAACGGATGAACCGGCCTCAGACTGCATGACGAGCCCCTTCTCTGCGGGATTCACTTATCCACGGCCAGAAAATATTTAAAATATTTTTTTAAAAAGTCCTAGAAACATCTCTATGTCTAAAAATGAAGTTACTGGAACGGGGCACTTCAGGGAGCCAGGGATCGTGCTGTGCAAAGCGTTCACTATTAAAATAGCGTTTGCTATAATCCGCATTTTTCAGCATCCGCTGGAGGGGGGGCTCTGACCTGACCCCCAACCCCCCCCCCGGACACAGAGGTCCCACTGTATATCCTTATTAACGCATGCAACACTCTAGAGCAGCTCTTCTCGGATTCCTGTTAAAGAGGACAGAACAGGACCCTAAAATTTCACAAACATTTCTCACCCCCTTTATTCTGTGGCTCCCTTCCATGGGGGCCCTGGGGGGCCCTGGCCCGTTTGAAAGGGGGGGGGAGACAGACTAGAAACAGTTCTTCCCACACCACCATATAAGGTTCGTTATGCAAATTATATAATCCTGACTTGGCCAATATTTCTTCCACGTTGCATTTATGGCTGTGTCCACACAGAGATCAAAACAAGGTGGAGGAGGGCTGCGCCAGAGGCCCTGCCCGAGTGCTCGGCCTCACCGCGGTGGCCGCAGGAGACCTCACGAAGGAAGGCAGGGGGGCAGGCCACGTCCGAAAGGAGGGGGGGTGAGGACAAGGACCGGCTCACCTGGCCAGCTCCGTTACTGCTCAGCTGGTAGACGCTCAAGAGGGGTAAACAGATGGTCTCCATGACACCAGCGCCCGCTACGGCTGCTGCCCCCTGTGGAAAAGAGAGGAGATCGCTCTCAGGAGGTGCAAAGACTCCCTCAGGATGGGAAGCCGGGCCGGTCTGGTGGATCCATTCCTTCCGTCCTGCGCGCGCCTCGAAAAGGGGTCGTGGGTGGGTTCCTAACCACGCCTGCCAAGCAGGTCCTGCCTGTCCACTAATCCTCCCCACCAGCCCACCAGAGGAGGATCCCACCTCTGGGTCCTTCTGGGAAAGCATCACGGCGCCTGGAGAGGAGCGCTCCGTTGCCATTCTGCCAAGCCCGACCCTCCCGAATGGCCTCACCATGGATACTTTGGGGACTCAGGCATGGAGCCGCTGGGTCGGAGAAGAGGCCCGACATCCTCGATCCCCGTGTTAGAAGCCCCGCCACTGGCAGAACCGGCCAGAGGGAGGCCGTCCTGCTCACCTGCTGGGTCCGGGCCAAGGTCAGGAGGAGATGCAAAGAGGCTTCGGTGAAATGGAGATTCTGCTTCCCTCGCAGGCTGATCTCCAGGGTGGTGAAAAGCGTGGGGAGGACCGGGATTCTTCGGGTCACCTGCAGCCAGTGGTCTCCGTCCTCGTCCACTTCGCAAAGCTCTTTGGCCAGGTGAAGCCCCAGGACGCACATCTGCCGCGGGGAAGGGCAGCGGGGGGCCCGAGGGCCAGGGAAGGCGGGAGGGAAAGCGAGGCACCGGTTAATAAAGAGTTATAGAGGAGCTCCCTAACCCACCCCCTTCTCCCGTGGATGATGGAAACGGTGAGGATTATAGGTGAACACTCTTATAACGGTGTTCCATGTTCTTCAGTATCCACAGGCAGGGGGGGCTTGGAACAGATGCCCTGCGGATACGGAGGTCCTTCTGTACATCTCTATTTCGCCCCTTTTCGAGGCCTCTTGGGTCCCGTCCTACAAATCTGGGCTCCCTTTAGGGAGCGGCCTGGGCTCCCTTACCCCGTCTCGCTGGTCCTTCTGTTTATGTCGGGAGGCGTCGTCGGTTTCCATGCTGTCTTTGTCGTCGGCGGAGTCTCCCGAGGACAGGCAGTGTCGGGTCTGGTCGAAGAGCGCCACAAATTCTTCTTGGAGCGTCTCGCACACGCTCAGCACCAGTTCCGAATACTGGGGGATCTCACTCACTGTAAAGAGACACACAAACACACACCACCGTGTGAGAGAAGCGGGGGGAAGGGTTGTCCAAACTGGAACAAGACCCAAACTCTACGAAGCAAAGCAACGTGTTTTTTTCTTTCTTTTTCCTCGCAAGACTAAAAACTGGGCTGACCCAACAAAGCTAAACAGTGGGAAACAGAAAACCTCTCCGGGCTGACGTTAAGTGAAACGGCAAAGGCCAGGAAGCCAAACTCTACGAAGCAAAGCAACGTGTTTATTTTTTCTTTCTTTTTCCTCGCAAGACCAAAAACCGGGCTGACCCAACAGAGCTAAACAGTGGGAAACAGAACACCTCCCCGGGCTGACGTTAAGCGAAACAGCAAAGGCCGGGAAACAGCTTGTGCGCCAAAAAAAGGGCAGGACTCGAACTCGCGGCTCCTCACCGTTCATCTCTTTCATCTGCAGGACGGTGATCAGGGCGGAAAACGCTTTGGCCTTGCTTTTCTCCATGAGCCGCGGGTCGGCCTGGAGGACCCCGTCCAAGATTTGGGTCAAGGAAAGCAGGATCTTATCCACCGAGGCCAGTTTGCTGAAAGCGGAACGGGGAAGGAAAGCAAAAAGAGAGAAAGAGAGAGAGAGGAGCCGTTGAGAGAGGCAACTAAAACGTGCCGCGCCTGCCCTGCTGCCGCCTCGGATGACCTTCGGAGCTTCGTGAAGAAGAAGCCGCTTACCTCTTCCACTGCCTGAGCAGGATGAGGACGAGGGTGCACAGCATGGAACCCAGCTGTAAGCAGCACACGGAGGTCGGAACCAGCAGCTGGAGAGAGAGAGACAGACGGAGGGCTTGGTTTCGCTCGGGCGATAGGACGGAAGGGTACTTCCCAATGTGCAAAATGTACAAAGCCGAGGGTAATAAGAAGCTGCCACAGAGACAGGGACCCCACTCCTGACCCCTATCCATGGGACCAGGATCCGCTGATTTACTTCTCCGCGTGCTGTTCCGAGGGAGTGGTTTTGGAGATAAGGTTTTACAGGGACCCCCTGAAATTAGACTCTCAGAAATAGGGGTCCCCTTGGGATCATCTTCTCACGTTCTAAAGCTTCCCGATTCCTAACAAAAAGACAGCTCAGGAGACGTGAGCCCTATAATGGTTGTATTTTCCGGACTTCACCAACCAAGAGACGCCTGGGCTCAAAGAGAAGGCCGACAGTTTACTCGCGCTCCACCGCAGCTGCGCTCCAAGCCAGGCTGAAATTACAGCTCCTTTCAAAAAGGCTAGAATATTTATATACAAACACTCACCAAAGCTTTCGTCCCACTCAAGACATCCAGGAATAGCGGCTGGACTCCCGAGTCGGAAAGATGCATGATGTCCGCCTGGAGAAGAAAAAAGAGAAGTTGATGACTTTAAACCGATGAAGAACTTAATGAACTATCGGGTCGTTCAGGGCTTGAGGTCCCTCCTTTCAAAAAGGCTAGAATATTTATATACAAACACTCACCAAAGCTTTCGTCCCACTCAAGACATCCAGGAATAGCGGCTGGACTCCCGAGTCGGAAAGATGCATGATGTCCGCCTGGAGAAGAAAAAAGAGAAGTTGATGACTTTAAACCGATGAAGAACTTAATGAACTATGGGGTCGTTCAGGGCTTGAGGTCTCTGGTTGGGAGTTCGATTCCCCCCATGGGGCCTCCTTAACAGGGGCTGGACTGGATGACCCATAGGGTCCCTTTGAAGCCCTGCAGTTCTAAGGTTATTATGACTTTTTAGCGGGTTTCCGGAGTTTACAAACTCTCAGGTCCTCTGCTGGATGAGCCTCTGGTCTCTTACGTTCACCTAATTAATACCCTTAAGCCGTGCTTTCAAAACACAGACTAATGAAACTTGTTTGAAGCTGCCTCTAAACGGGAGCCAGCCGTCCAAAGTAATACGGTTCAGCCTCCTGCGAGGAGCTTTTAACTCTTCTCCTATTTCCTTAAACATTTTTGGCGGCAGGTCGCGAAAAGAGCCGGACGTCCTTACGTGGCTGGCAGAGACAATCAGCATCATCCGCCAGGCGGAGATCATCATCTGGTATTCGGTGATGGAGGCCCCACTGACCCCTTCTGTCTCAGCCACGTGGAAGGCCAAGGACTTCACGTAAGACGACCAGTACGTGAACCGCTTCTCGGCGGAGAACTTCCTCAGCATCTCCTTCAGGGACTGATCCAGGGAGCCTCTGCACCCGACAGGAAGAGAGGGCACTCAGTGACTTTTAGATTTGGAGAAAAGCTATGAGGGGCTCTCTCCTCCCTGGAAAAAAACTGACATCAAAGCTACGAGGAGAGAGACTTTAAAAGTGCTCTGAGAGAGAGAGAAGGCGGCCCTTAAAAAGCAGTATGAGCAGAGGCGCTCTACGCCCATCTTTCTCACACGATATGGTCAAGTCTGCCCGCTAAAGGGGCTTAGATGAATTCCTGGAGGATTCAACAGCTTTGAGCCATCGTCACCTCTTTGCACCCTCTGTGACCGAGCCTGCCAGATGCATGCACGGGGGGGTTTACAACCTCCGGTCATGTCAGCCAGGACGGTCAGAACGGCCTGGCTTATTCTTGTTACATCTATCCTCTGAACACAACCGTTCCCTTCAGTTCAAGCCTCGGGAGGAGAATTTTGCAATTGATAAGAGAGAGCCAAGCATTTCATATCTCCTGGCATGTACATAAAAAGAGGAAAGTGAAGTGGTAAATACACGGGGTCGGAAAACGGGAAGCCGCGGCCACGTCCCCTTCTCTCTGGGTGAGCCCGACGGGAGCCTCTGGCTAGAAAACGCTCAGGGCGAGATACTTACTGGACCACACAGTAAATCTCCAGGCAGACGATTTTCATGATCAAGGCACACGTGTCCAAGGCAGTGAGCTGCGGGACGAGAGAACGGCCGGGCGTGAACGTCAAAGCTCTGCCCCCCCACACCTCCAGCAGACTGAAATGAAGCGGATCCTTGGTCTTTGTGAGGAGGGTGGCCAATTCAAGGAGGGGGGAGAGGGTTGAACCACAGCTGCCCTTTGGGGGGGGAAGCAACTCACTTCAGACGTTTCGCAGGGCGGAGGGAGAGTCCCGAAGAGCGGGTTGGTCAAGTTCTCCCAAAACTTTGGCCTGAAATGCAAAGGGGGAAAAAATCAGCCAGCTGTTGGTTTTCCCTTTGGGAGATTGAGAGGGGGGTGAGATCCCATTGAGCTCGGCACCCTGAGATGGCTTTAGAGGCCACGGCGCGTAGCCAAGGCATCGAAAGGTGCCGGCTCTTTTCCTGCATTGCCCCCCCCCGCACAGCCAGGGCCCCCCCCCCCGCACAGCCAGGGACAACCTGCCCTCGGGCGCACTGGCTGAAGGCCGCCTCAGCCAATGACTGTCACAGCCCAGAAGAGAAGCCCCCCCGCCCGCTGCTCACTTGGTCCGGAGGACGAGCATGGCGCTGTCTCGCCGATCCTGCCACAGGGCGTGGAGGAAGGCCACGGTGGCTCTCTGCAGGAGGGGGGGGCACCAGTACTGGTCGTGATGCCGGAAGTCTATCAGCTCCAGGACGACGTGAAGGCAGCTCCATTCTCCGATGCTGAACTCCTAAGCGGGCACAAGGAGGGAGAGGAACCGAGGCAGAAAGAGAGAGGGAACATTTCCCAAAATTTCCATTTTTTCCAGGGGGAAAAAAACGGGCTGAAGCTGCCCAATTCGGAACCAAATGCATCCGCTTTGATGCTTACCTTGGACCCATCGCTCCCGTCTTTGACTTCGAGACTCAGAAACAGCTCGATGAGCCCAGGCTGCGTCTCCACGGCCACCGTGAGGAACTCGAAGATCATAACCTTGATGCGCATGTCCTCGGTTTTGCTCTTCAGGCGGGTGAGGAAGGCGTCGCGGATGGCTGCGGCGTCGTTGCCGAGACAGGCGTAGACCGACATGGGCGCGACCTGGAGAAGGGGCAGGAAAGAAGGGCAGAAAGCCGCCCGCTATTTTTCCAAAGAGGGGTGCCGCCGTCTGGAAGCTGCCCCAGAGGAGGGCCCGTCTCGTGTCCCCCCCTCAAGCGCCCCTGAGCTGGCCACAGGATCAAGAGAAGGGTCTCCTCCTCCGAGGACCTGATCTTCTCGGGAACCCAATTCCCAGCCCCACTGAGATCGCGCCCCCAGGGACGGAGGGATGGCTCGAATCTAGCAACCTCTCGAGGATACCGTGGGACCCTCGACTCGGGGAAAAGCTGGAGGGAGAGAAAGAAAACACCACCCTTTCTGTGGGAAACCCCAGAGAAGCAAGCCGCAACACAAACTCTGAAAGGGAGTCTCTCTCTCTCTCATTCTCTCTCTCTTTTTAAAGTAGGGGACCCAGATGCCTCTAGGGAATCGGTTCGCTGAAGCTGAGGGGCGTCCATCTGGAAAGCTGAGGCAGGACAAGACCGCTCTCCTTCCGCGGACAAAACCCGACTCACCGTGGCCAGGCGCTTCAGGAGCTGGATGGCAAGGCGGGGCAAGGCAGGATCATGGCGGTGGTAGATATACTTGGCCAGGACCGCAATCAGGTTGTTCCGGTGGGCGCCTGAGAAGAACGTCGGGTGTGAAAACACACACACACACCTCTGAGGGCGGCCGTCGTATAGAGCCCAGCGCCTGGCAGAGCTTTGACGGGCAAAAGCGAAGGATGGCATTCTTGGCTGGACAAGAGGGGGGAAAAGGGGGGGGGACTTACCATGCTGAGTCAGGGCTTGTTCCAAAGGGGACACGATGTTCGATGGCGGCTTCAACCGGATGACGTTGTTTGTCACCGAGAAGGCCAGTTTGACGGTCTGGATAAGCAGCTGGCTCTGGCTCTGGGGGGCATCGCTGTTGGGGGGGGTCAACAAGAACCGGTGGGACTCCATTCTTACCCAGTTCTCTTCAAAGGACTGGTTTGCTCTTATTGCCCCCACCAACAGCTCAATAACTCGTTGGCGACGGTCCGTATATGAAACTCACACACACACCCTCCTTGCTGGTCATCCCCAGACCCCACTGAGGTTGTAAGGTCACAATCCCACAATCTAGCTTCTCCAGATCTGCCCCCTTTCCGTAAAATGCCCAGGTCACACAGACTCCCACGTCCGAGGGGAGCATAGCAGCAAACGGATTGGGGCCACTCACCTACTGGACTGCATGGCCACCACCATATCAATGGTGTCCACCCCAATGCCCATGATGCTGATGACGGCTTGACCGGCCTCCGTGTTGGCCAGGCTGAAGATGCACAGGCTCTGCAGGGTGGGGGCGCTGCAGGAAAGCAAGAAGCCGGAGTTCAGCCGGCAGGCAGGGCGAAGGTCCGACCCTCCACCCCCCAGCTAGTTCTGAAGCCGGGAGCATCCGACGACAACAGAGCCCTCGATCCTCTGGGGCCACGAGGACTAGAAACTTCGTTCCCCCTTCCAAAATGAATTTGGAGACAAAGGCCAGGATCCTGCTGGTGTTTGTGTAAAATCGGGGTGCACATCCATGTAACCCTGAGTGGGTGAGATGCTCGGTTGGGGGTCTTGGCCAGATCCCTGGTCAAGGAGCCCAACTGCGCAACTTAGCCCTTCACCACCTCGGGGGTAAGTAAACTACACCCCAGATCCCCCAGCCGACACCCAACGTCGCTGTACCTGGTACCGGGATCCATTTCAGGACACAGGTTCAAGATGGCATGAATAAGGTGTAAGATAAGGCACCCTGGAAAAGAAAGGAGTGGGGAGATCTTCAGGAACAGAAGGTATTTTCAGATAGGATTTCTCGAATGACTCGAGTTCAAGCAACATTCGCCACATGTCTACAGAACCCTGCGCTAGAAGTCTTTCGAAAAGCAGGCTGGTGGATCCTGCCCAATCCCACCCACCCCCCTTTTCTGCCCACAGGACTGAGGAAACCAACCTGGAATTCACCAGGTCAGAAAAGCTTGGCATCCGAATTCAGATACCTGACTTCTCTCCCTTCTGACGAGCGGGCGCGTGAATCTGGCTTAGGGATTTTCTTTAGTGTTTTCGGCAGTGGATAAATGAATCAGCGGATAGACCGATCCCATAGAGACCGGGGTCCCACTGTGTTTGGATGACCGCTCCAATCTGATCCATGCAGCATGGTCAACGATCAGGGGACTCGGGGAAGCTGGAATTCAAAGTGTCCTTCCATACCCTTCTGTGAAAAGGGTTATTCCCCCCCGCACACACACACAAAAAAACAAATAAATGTTTTACCAATCCGTTCCCTCATCCCGTGGGAGTTGTAACGCCATTTGTGATAATTCGGCAGCATCTCCTTCAGGACAAAAACGACACACGGAACCAGCCCTTGGCTCTGGGTACTTCCCAGCTGCCCCTGAAAAAAGAAGCCGGGCCGTAGAAGGCCGGTTAGCGGGAAATTCCGGCGCACGGCGGAAAATGAAAACCTAAAAAAAAAACCAACCCAGCAGGAATGGAAACAAAACAGCGTCAAGTTACCTCTGCATTCGAGGTTTTGAGTGACACTGAATGTTACAGATTGCCTATCCCCCCTTCCTGAAAACTCTTACCCGGATAAGGGTCGTGACGAGATTAAGGAAGGCGACGGTGACGCTGTACTCGCCCTGCGGCTGCTCTACGTTCATCAGCAGGTGACCGTAGCCTCCAGCGTTCATTCCCTCTGCACTATGGAAAAATGGAGGGGGGGGAAGGACACAAGAGTGAGGTTTCTGTGTGGTTGTGCCGGACACACAACACCGAGAAGCAGGAGCTGGCTGAAACTACGTCAAGACTCAGAGACCAGCGACTCGGCTTGTACAGGCCCGGAGTCGAGCATCTGGTGATGGTGTGGTTCACAAGAGAACCGGCCTTTCATCGGCCGCTGATCAACAACTGCTGAAGTTTGCAGGGGGAAGGGAGCGGAAATAATCATCCTATTTCCCACCCATTCTGGGGTACCAGAAATGAGCGGCATGCTCTTCTTGGTTTTCTCCAAAATTTTATCCAACAGATTACAGAAAAACAATGCCAGTAAAAACTCCACAACGGGGGATCAAGTTTACCTGATCATCCGGCTGAGACTGGAAACGGGATTAGCCACAAAGGGTAGGAAGCCTGTATGGTGAAGATCCGTCCAGACCTTTAAAAAGGAGAACCCAGCGTTAGGTTTGTTTACTTGTATACGGGCCAGGCTGACACAAAACAGAACTGAAGTTGTCAAAGAGGGTCTCACTTTGGCCGGCATCCGGGAAGCCATGACCGTCAAGCAGTTGACGCAGGAAGCGATGACGTCCACCGGGGGAGAAATGACAGTCGTTAACCTGGAAAAAAAAAGATCCAAGGGTGACCCATGATCCGGCAACTCAACTCGAACTCGCATCGTTTGGGGCTTTTGTTTTTTTTTACGCCTAATGACTCAGACGTGACTCAGAACCCACCCACTTCTTCCCCTTTGAATTGGGGAGGGACTTTTTTCGTAGGGACACGAATTTGGGACTCGGGCCCCAAGACTTGCCAACATCCCTGTCCAAAATGCTCAAAAGAGATCCGGAATTCTCCCCGGACGAGCGCGAGCATAAAATACTCGTGCCAACTCCAGAGGTCCAAACGTTTCATCTACGGTCCGTTTTGACGTTAAGGCGAACGGTGCTGGCTCACCTCTGTAAAAGCATGTAGATCCGCGACGTGATGGGCAGGAGGTAATCAGCGATGGAGACGTCGGTGCTGATCACCTTGTGGACCAAGTCGATGATGGGCTTCACCCTCTGGCAGTGCTGGATGACATCTGGGAAGAGAAACGCGAGCTGGAGAAAACACCAAACAGGCCAGCAAGAGATCTGAAAAACTAAAAATGTTAACGGGAGACTCTCGAGACTCACCAGCCGTGGAGACGACGTGCAGCAGCATTTCGATCTCGCAGGTGAAGAGGGTCCAGCTGCTGTAGGAGTAGTCCCATCGGACCAAATACGCCCGGTCGTCCAGCATCACTTGACCCACGGTCCCCTGAGGGATCCTCAGGTTGGTCTGGCCCAGCCCTAGAAAGCGGAAGGAAGCGCTGAACTGGAGTCGCCGGCTTTAGAGATTTTCCTAGAAGGATTGGCCGTCCGCAATTCGGTACGACGGACGCCCTGAGCTCTCCGGGGGAGCGCCGGCGTTTTGACGACACCCCTCCTTCCTTACCGAGGGGGTAGAGCAGCTTCGGGGCCTGCCTCCGCCACAGGGTCCCGTCTTCGTGAGAGATCACATCTGGCGGCTTGTGCTTGTACAGCTCGATGTAGAAGGACATTTTGTCCAAAAAGGTATACACCTGTCGAGAGAGAGAGAGAAGCTGAAGGAGCGAGGAAGAGAAGGCAGCGGGAGGCGGTGTTGCTGGCCGGTTCCCAAATTGGTTGGAAAGCCACATCTCTCCACTGCAGAGGCCGCCTGCGCGGATGGGTGCGAGACGCCAAAACCGAGGTTCACGCTGGTTCATTTTTCACCCACACTTTCCAGCCCTGCCTCCTCCAGCCAGGCCCCCGTTCAAAAATACATCTTTCTAGGATTTTTCTTTTACTATTTTTTAAAATATTCTCAGGCCATGGATAAGCGAATCAGCAGATGCTTGTCCTGCGGATACAGGGGATATCCTACCATACAACAAAATCGGAATGCAGAAAACAAAACCTTATTTAAGACTGGTCAGAAGCGATATTAAAAGAACAAGGTCTCTTCTGTGCTGTAGGAACTAAGTCGGCTCTTCTTGTCGGTGACATTATATCCATCCCCTCTTTGGGATTCTCATACGTACCTTTTTGGCCGTTGATTTGTCCGAAACTAAGGCGGTGAGTAACTGGAGGAGAGGAGAGAGGAGGTGGGGGAACATGCCACACACGCTGTCCAGAATAATGCCCAGACCTGCCGTTGGTTCCTGGTGTTAACAAACACAAAACAATGCTGGTCAAAACTCAATGCGTAATACCTGCGAGCGGCAGGAATGGAAGGGACCCCGTGGGATCATCCAGTCCATCCCGTCAAGGAGGCCCAGAAGGGGGAATCGAACTCCCAACCCCAGGCTGAAACCCCTCCAGCAATTTCTCAAAGGCTAAGGGTACTACCACAGGTAAAGCTGTCTATTCCCTGTGGCGAACTTTTCTCAAAGGGAAGATAAAGTCTTTAGGCTGCCAGACATAACTTGGATGACAAACGAACCGACACGAACTGCCGAACCGGCAGTTCGTGCCCATCTCCAGGCCAAGTAAACTCTTCGACGGCTGACTCACCGTCTTCCAGAAGAGCGCGGGAATGGTTGGACTAGACAGAACTTCACACGCTGCATCTATGATGTCCTTTGGAGAGAAAAGGGGGTGTTTCATATTACACATTACTTCCTTATTTCATTCCTTTCTGTATCAACACATTTCATAGAATCACAGAATCGCCGAGTTGGAAAGGGCCCTCTAAGGCCACAACTGAAATAAATTAAAGCGATTTCTAGACCTTGAACTATTCTGCGATGTGCAGGTAAGCGCTGGCAGAAAAACCTCAGTAGCAAGCAAGGGAGTCTCAAGGAACTCTCAAAAGATGGGAGGAAAGTTAACGGGAGCGTGAAATGCATTTCAAGCCGTTTTCAAAATGGACTCCAAATCATAAACTGAGACTGCATTTAATTCATTCATTCATTCATTCATTCATTCATTCATTCATTCATTCATTCATTCATTCAATTAAATCTACCATCAGATCTGTAACAAATCTATAATAACAAGACTTGAAAGATACTTCCTGCCTGTATCGCGACACCTCCTATTCCCAGGTAGTCCACGTGGGTCAATGGCCACGGGAGGGACCATCAGCCCTTCCCCTGGAAGACACGAAGGCAACGGATCCCTCTGGGATTCTTACCTGCTGGTTGCCCAGCGTGTGGAGCTCCAAGGAAGTCAAGACAAAGGAGAGCAGGCCATAAATAGACATGCACGCCGTGCTGGAGATGCACTGCAAAGCAAAGAAACAGGTTTATTTAAAGTGAAGCGGTCTGGAGGGCATGGGAGTGAAGAAGCCTGCCGTACGCAGACAGCGAGGGAGGGACCGCATCAGGTCTAGCGCTAGGAGAGGCCGAAAACAGGCCAGCGATCCGGCGTTTTCTGACAAAAAAACTTGGGGAAAAACCACCCAGCGACATTCGGGATTTCGTGCGAGGCTCTCACATTTCCCTCGCTGCTTATGGACCGGAGCAGTTTGGTCAAATACTTGAAAACGTTCAGCTGGATGGCCGTGCTTCCCAAGCGCCGGATCACGCCGGTGGACTCTTTGGAGGACAAGGTGTGGCGGAGCAAAGCCCAGGCCAGGAGAACGGGGGCGTGGTGGGAAACGTCCCCGAGAGTCAGCAGCAGGCGGTCCATTTCCTACCCGAAACAGAAAGAGGGAAGTCATGGCGTGGGCTCACAGCCTCCTCCTAATTACTACGACCCCATAAAAGTTATGTTCCAGTGGTTCCATTTTATTTTCCCCCAGGTAGGCTGCCGTTCCCCCAACCTCTCAGGAAAGAGGGTTTCTCCTTGCTTGGGACACCATTTTAGATAACTTCAGTGTGAAAGGACTTTGAAGAAGTACGGAAGCACCTCTTTATCCGCGGAATCAGTATCTGCTGATTCACTTACCGAGAATCTGACGTTAAAAATATTAAAAGAAAGATTCTAGAAAGATCTATGTTTCTAAAGATGGTTACCAGGGAGGGAGCAACAGACTACACTACATAGAGTGTTTGTGATTAAAACGATGTTTGCTATAATGCAGGCTTTTCAGCATCCGAGGTGGGGGAGCTTAGAGCCAATCCCCCTAGATACTGGGGGGGGGGTTGTTTCCTACTGCGTCTGCAATTTGGGCTGAGAAACAAGCTTTAAAAAGGATTTAAACGTGGTGACTGAAAAATCCTTAGACAATCTGAAAGACTAGGGAAAAAAAATGGGTAACTAACTAACGAGGGGAAACGTACAGTGCAGAAGTAACCAGGGTAGGACGCAGCCTGAGAGAGAAGCAGAAGTAATCCACCGAACTAAAATCCTGTATGCCTGAAAGGTAAGGACACCTATGATGCTATCACTTTATCCGTAATCTTTGGCGTAGCTTTAATTTTAGGACACATTGTTCATTTTTAAAATAGCGAATGTTTCACCAAATGGGCTCAAGTAAACAAGTACGAACGTATTTAGAGAGAGACCACGCTGAATAAATATCCAGAGACAAATATTTAGAGACAAAAATTTAAATATTTAAATGAATGTTTAAAGAGCCAGCCCTGAGAATACTAAACACTCTCTTGTAGTCCACACAGAATTCATTAGAGAATTACCTGCCGGATTTGTAGACTCCCCGCAAATTTATGCTCATCTTTCCTGTCATTCATCACACGCTCATGGAGGGTCTCAATTTCCATGCCTTCCACTAGGATCAGAGCACTGAAATACCTAAAAGAGGCACGGAGAAATTGAGTTGAGAAAAACCAGGACGTCAGAACTGGAAGACGGTGGAGCGGGGGAAGTAGCCCAAGAATTTCATATTCCTTCAAACAGCTTTCTATCACATTTCTGAAGTTCACTCGTTTAAGAAACACTTTCCAAAGGAAAGGCTAACTTGAATTTTAGCATAAAGGATGTGCGAACAACCAACAAACACAGCCGCATCTTTAACTGAACGCTGAGCATCTCTGTTGCTGTTTCGGCAACTCCTTGAGACAAAACTAGATGCCTAACGAAAAACAAGTTGTGACACCTCGCACCATTTCCTTTATCTGCAGAGAACTGCAGGAAACAACCCCTGTTTTGGATCCAGGATTCAGTCTCTAGCCTCTCCCGTTTCAAGGATGGAAAATTTATCTTGCTTGAGACCTTGAAAAAAATTTAAGGAATTTTTAAAGATGCATCGATCAGCAGCATGGACTAAGATCACAAATCACGGCCTGGTACAACCCCCCGGGCGATGCTCTGTCACAGCCCGCTTTGGCAGATCGACCCTACTCACCCGATGCGATCGATGAGGTGGTCCACGCTTTCGTCCACCAGATGCCTGTTGGTCTGCCGAGAGCCGAACCCCTGCTCTTTGAACCTTTTGGCCAACGCCAGCAGGTCCTCGGGCGGCATCTCGAAATAGGCATAGTAGAGGAAAATGACTTCCAGCAGTAAGGACTGCTCGCGGAGGCACTGCGTAAACCAGCGCGAGACTTGCCGCTCTGTCTGCGGAAAGAAGCAGAACCAAACGCTACTGCATGCACCGGGCAACACCTAATGTCTCCCAGAGATCAGCTAGAAACATAAGGGAAAGGTGGAATAATGGGGGGGGAGGGAATCAGCCAAGAAAATACCATGAGGCTTCCACGGGTCTCCCACGTAGGCGCTTCCATTTTGTAGAGCTCTTCAAATTGTTTCCGGTAGTTAAGGACCAGCTCCTTGTCCATTTTTTCCACGCACTGTGAAAACTGGGCCTTCGAAACAAAGCAACTATTACACAACGCACACCTACAAGATAGGTTTCGGTCTTTGTTTTAATACCCTACCCTTTAAATTCAATTCAGGGTAGCTTTATAAACTAGAGCGTCAGAAGAATTTAAACAGAAGTAAAATACCCCACTTTTTTTAAAAAAAGAAAAATCAGTGAAAGGATGAATAAAAATTTCCAGCAGAGACTTAAAAAATAAAACACAAAACCCTGATGTTTTAATCCGCATTAAAAACAGACGAGGAAGGCTAAGGAAATAAAAAAGACATCCACTCATCGAGAAGATATTAAAGAAGGCTTGCTGGGGGACAGAACGTTCAAGACAGTTCAGAACTGAATACAAAATTCAGAGATTCCCATATGGTGGGATGAAGGGGAGGGGAGGGAACCCCAGTACCTACCATGTAGGGGTGTCTCTCATCCTGGAAAAAAGTGAGAAGATGAAGAACACATCGTAGAATGTAAATCCTTTCCTCGTAATAGTAGTCAGCAAACTGTAAAAGACACATCACCTGTATTTTAGACCACACCATGATGACCTAAGAGATCATCATCGGTTTAGCCCCTAAGACTTCGGGGAACTATTCAGGACTGAACTACCAGGTAGGAGACAGTTCCTATAAGTAAGATCGCCCACGGGGGACCCCCAGGAAGGCAATTTCTCCTCTGTCTTTTACACAAACAGTACGACGAGCAGGCGGTGTTTACCAACCTTCAGAATGAGAGCCTGGCTTTGCCTCTCATCTTGCAGAACGCTCTAGGTACAAGACAAAAGGAAAATAACGAATGGTTAATAAATATCAGAGAGCCCCTGAAAGTCAGTCCTAATAGAACAGAAGCACTACAAGACATTTTACTGGGGAGGCAGCCTTTGAGCTCTGCCGACGAAACTCTCCCGCTAGAAAGGCGGCCGATCGGTCCGACACAGACACGGAGTTCAGCCTCGCCCTGCATCGCTCAGAGAAATGTACCCTGCAAATTCCCAACGAAAGGGAGTCATGCACAGCCCCAGGCTCGACGGAGCTGCCGGAGAAGACAGATGGCAGTGAGCGACCAACCTCGTAGGAATTTCTGGTCCCTCGGAAATCTTCTTGCAGGTAACACTGTAACAGCCGCACACTCTGCTGTTCATTCAAGCCCTAGAGAAACGAGAGAGACAGACAACTTAGTTACTCATATTTTTCGCCCCATAAGACGCACCTTTCCATAAGACGCACCAATTTTTTAGGAGAAGAAAACAGGAAAATATAATCTGTTTTCTTCGCTCCATAAGACGCAGACTTTCCACCCCCCCGTTTTGTGGGGAAAAAGTGTGTCATATAAAACAGAACCCACTCCACTTTTATTTGCTTTTGAACAAATGCAAGCCGAGAGGAAGAGACAGGGAGGCAGCAAAGATTAAAGCCATCTTCTCTAATTTCCAGTTGTTTAGTTATAGATTTTACTTCCGAGTTACATACAATTGACTGATAATTTATATATATATGTGTGCGTGTGTGTGTGTGTGTGTTTTAAAGGGAGCAGAGAAAGTACTTCCACTCAAGCAGTGAAGAAGGCCATGCACGTCAACAGCTGTGCCTCACGGTCCTGTCTTTTTCATTCCACGGGGATGCTCAGAACGGAAGAACAAGGGCAGCAGCAAAGCAGCTGCTCTCCTCCACGTACCAAAAACTTGCTGACTCTAAGAGCCAATTCCTTCAAGGAAGCAGCCAGGCTTTTATCAGCTTTTACATGTTCTGCTGAAGTTGCACTGTAGGTGGGGGGAAAAAAAAGAGAAAGGGTTGGGGATATTTTTCTTAAATACGTGAAACTTTCGATAACTGATTTGGGCTTGAATCAAAGTAAACAAGTAAGAGATGTCCATCTGGAAGCATGAATCCACTGGCAAATGAGTCAGTGGAAGCCTCAAAGTCCACTTCTAGTTTTTTATATTTTGGAAAGTCATAAGGTATAGAAATGAACCCGGACATCTTTAAATTTAGGAACGCGGGAGAACCTCTGCTCCCTTGAAAGGGCATCGACTCTCACACATGGTTTCCCATTACAACTAGCCTGACACCTCTAAGAAGCTAAAACAAATAAATGAATAAAGGCAAATATTCTCCCTTTGCAACTCTCCCGCAGGATGTGATATCTTGATAGCCGGCTCCAGCTTCAAGATTCTGTTCCTTGGTCACAACTAATCACCAGTCAAGAGGCCCAACGTCCGCTGATGGCGCCAACGCATCTGAACAGCATCGAGTTTCATAAAGCCTGTAACTTCTTCCCGGTTACAGTTAACTAATTATAACTACTAGCCATCAATCATGACGAAGGCATAAAGAAAACAGAATCCTAAGTTGCACACTAAGCATGCATCCTACGAAGGGAAAGCCAAGATTCTGCAAATCCTTGGAACAGAGTATCTATCTAGCCTCTCTGTGTGTGCTGTTCATGTTTAAGTTGTTATTTTACTGAAAACTTCAATAAATACTATTTCTAAAAGCAACCTATTTCACCTTAATAAAAGCCCTACCTATTTCCTAGGGTGTCCCCCTCACAGAAGCTACACAGAAGCTCCCAGCATCCCTTGAATCAATGGCCTTACCTACCTGGGGGGCTTGTAATAGGCAAGCCCTTCAACCATCCGCTGGGTGTGAATATTCAGCTCTTCTGCAATTTGAGCCTAGAACACAGCAAAAGAAAACAAACCAGGTAGTTCTCCCTGTGCTCCCATTTTTTAAAAAAAACAATCTGCTAATTGCCACCCTCATAGGTGAAGCAAAACAAAGGCCTCGAAGCACCAATTGTTGTCCAAACAACAGCTCATGAATGGCCAATATGCAATGCCTGGCTGGTAGAGTTGAACTGCAATTCCATCTATTCCAGGTCGGAAAGCTTGTCCATTCCAAATTAGTTCTGCCGTTAAAAATATATTTTGGGTTTATTTATTTTTTTCTTTTGATATTTTTAGACTGTGGACAAAGGAATCCACAGGTAGTGATCTCGCAGATCAGGGGGTCCTTGCTGTACACAGAAATTTTAACAAACCTGTAAACCGCCCAGCATCGTGCGTTGCACTAAAAGGGGTGGTACATAAATTTAAGAAAAACCTAAGTAAACTCTCGTCACATGGGGCATCCTCTACTTACAGGCTCTCTCAAAGCTGATCTTCCCAGCAGAATGGTCCATAGTTCCCTGCTACTCCTGGGAACAGAAAGAGGGGTAGGTGGGAAATGAAAAGCTAACGGATTAGTTTTTGCCAGCAGAAATATAATAACATGTCAGCAAGCCGATGCCCACTTATGGCAAGACCTCGTAGGTTTAGAAGAGTAATCACTGCAATGCTTAAGACAGAGTGCAGGCAGAATTACTCAGGGTTACAGAACGATATTAGAGAGGAGCAAAGGACGCTAAAGCAAAAGAATAATGAAGATTGCAATTTTAATCAAAGTCGGAGAATTTGAAATCCTTCTTGCTCCTTTCTAGGTTGCTTTTCAGTGTGCAGAAATAAAACTATTATAGCCCTTTTGTCATATAAACATATGTCGTACAGGTGTAAACATTGGAAGGCCGGATATGAGATTGACAGACTCCCTTAAGGAAGCCACTGGCTTGAGTCTGCAAGGGCTGAACGGGGTTACGCAGGGCGGGACATTTTGGAAGTTGCTCCTTTGCATGTCGCCTCGAGTCGGAGGCAACCCAACGGGCTGGGACCGAACCCCATGAAACCAGAGATAGTGCTGGAAGATGAGACTCCCAGGGCGGGGGAAAGCAAGGCGCTTTCGGGAGACCCGCTCGTTCGTACGGTTGCCGCGAGACGGAGGCCATTTGAGGGCACATCCCAACCACTGCCACAGTCCAGGCGAGATGCGGCCGCAGAGGCAGAAAGAGGTCAGTACAGACGGGACGAGGCCAAGCCACCTCTCTCTGTCCCCCGACTTTTCTGTCCCCCTGAGGCTCTGGATAACGACCCCGAAGAGATCGACCGCCTCTATGACGCTTTGGGAATGGTGTCCCCCTGAGGCTCTGGATAACGACCCCAAAGAGATCGACCGCCTCTACGACGCTTTGGGAATGGTCGAAAAGTGTGTGTGTGTGTGTGTGTGTGCGTGTGTCTGAAATCCTGAGTACCACATCTGTACATGTGTGTGTCGGTCTCTGTGGGTGTGTGTACACATACACACGTACATGCATATACCTGAAATTTTGAATAAGACGACATGCGCGTGTGTGTGTGTGTGTGTGTGTGTGTCTGAAATCCTGAGTACCACAGGCTCTTGAAGGACGTCTGTACATGTGTGTATCGGTCTCTGTGGGTGTGTGTACACATACACACGTACATGCATATACCTGAAATTTTGAATAAGACGACATGCGCGTGTGTGTGTGTGTGTGTGTGTGTGTGTGTAGATACTAACAGACACATTCTATCTACCTCTCTATCCTGTGTATCAACATACACACCCAAAGGGGCTCCCCTAAGCTTAAGGGTTCCTCTTGAGGTGAGGTATGTTTAGAAACACACCTGAGGAGGCACAACCCCCCCCCAATTCAAGTAACTTTGTGTGTGTGTGTGTGGTGTTTTCTCTCGCCTGCCCTTCGGGATAACCCCTCAGGGGCTCTGTTTTACCTGAGGTTAAGACCTGAGGCCTCTCTTTTTCCTTTGGGGTGTGTGTGTGTATGTTTGTGTGTCTCTCCCCTCTGAGTGTTTCTATACACACACACACACACACACACACACACACACACACACACACACACACATACCCGTCCCCTACCAGGCAACGCCATCGCCTGCAACTCTTTACTTCCAGGGTTCATTCCCTTCCCCTCCCCCCCGCTACCTCTCCGTCAACGCGCCGGCCGCCATCTTGGCTCCCCTCCCACGTGACCCCCGGCCTCCTCCTCCCCTTCCCCTCCCGCCAATCAACGCCTTCCCGGCCACGAGGAGGCGGAGGGAGGCGGGGCGGGGCAAAAAAAGCCGGCCAGTCACGTGGCCCCGGCGCTGAGGGGAAGGCGGGGCCAAAAAACCCCTCCCCTCCCGAGAGACAGAGAGGGCGCATGCGCGCCTCCCGCCCGCTCCTTTCGACCGTTGGAGAGGGAGAAAGGAGGGAGAGAGGGAGGGAGGAGCCTCGGCGGTCACGTGACTCGCGCGCCGTGACGTTGTTCCTGCGCCGGGCAAGATGGCGGCCCCCAGGAAGGGTGAGTGGATGGAAAGGAGAGAAAGGGGGCGGGTTTTTTGGGGGTTTTTCTCTCTCCCCCTCCCCTCCAAAGCCGCGACGAATTAAAAGCGGGAGGGTCTCGCTGGCTTTTCGTTCATTAGGGGACTTCTTGACCCGTGTTATCCACGGGGGAGCGGTCCCAAGCGCCGCCCCCGCGGATGCAGGAAACCGCAGATAGAGCAGAACGCTATCCCTAGCATGGCCTCTGGCTCCCTCGCGTGGCCCGCCCTGGTAAATGCATCCTGGAAATATGTACAGTATTTCTAGGTTTTTCCCCTTTAATATTTCCAGACCGCGGATACCGATTCTGCGGATACAAGGGGCCCCACCCTCTTAGCACAATACTGCTACAGATTTTGGAATCTCCCTGGAAAGAGGCCTGAAATACGGCCGCGTCGTTGTTAAGCAGAGCACCCTTTTTCCCTTTTAACAGTGGGTTCTATTTTCACCATTTTAGGAAGGAGGCTGAGCTGGACCTGAGCTTTCCACGGCGGGAGAAGTGCCGCCTTTGAACATAACCAGGTTGGGTTCTTGAGAGTCACAGGGGACCGACGGACCGACCGCCAGCACCATGCTGAACAAACAGGTGGTGGGGGAATCTCTGGTCGTGTTCGTGGCCGTCGTGTGGGTCCACAGCGCCGCCTGGGACCGGTTCTCCTGGTGCGCCGTGGCCCTCGCCATCCAGGCTTTCTACACCCAGTTCAAGTGGGACCACCTCCTCCGGCAGGGCAACGCCGTCTTCCAGTTCCGGACGGGCGCCAACAGCGGCCTGCTCCCGGCGTGCATGGCTCTCCCGTTGCTGGGGATCGTGACCAAGGAGAGGTGCCAGGCGGCCGGCATGGTGTACTTCGAACGCTTCGGCATCGTGGTGGCCTGCACTGGCATGGCCATCGCCCTGTTCCTCTCCGTGATCGCCCTCGGCATCACCAAACCGGTGCCGACCAACACCTGCATCATCTCTGGCATCGCCGGCAGCCTCATCATCTACACCATGAAGCATTCTCTGACCGTCTCCGAAGTGATCGAGGTCCTCGAAGTCCTGCTCATTTTTGTCTACCTGAGCATGATCCTCTTGTACTTGCTGCCGCGGTGTTTCACCCCCGGCGAAGCCTTGCTCATCCTGACGGGCATCAGCTTCGTCCTCAACCAGCTCATCAAGCGGTCTCTGAACGTCGCTGAGAGCCGAGGCGACCCCATCGACTTCTTCCTCCTGGTCGTGGTGGTCGGGGTGGTTCTCCTCGGGATATTCTTCACCGTCCTCTTCTTCTTCATGGACTCCAGCACCTGGATTTCCGCCATGTTCTTCCACATGATGACAGCCGTGCTGGGACTCGGAGTTATTATGCCTTGGCTCTACCGCCTGATCCGACGCAACCCCTTGTTCTGGCTCTACCAGTTCCTCTCCCACACGCAGACCAGAGTCTACCTCCTAGCCTACTGGACCCTTCTGGCCACTTCGGCGTGTGGCGTGGTCCTCTACCAAAACACCAAGAGGGCCTCGGGCTCTAAAAAACACCAAGCTTCCACCGTCACTAGGAAATACTTCCACTTCATCATCGTGGCGACTTACGTCCCGGGGCTCATTTATGACCGCCAGCTGCTCTACGTGGCGGCCGTGGTCTGCCTGGCAGTGTTGATTCTTCTAGAATACATCCGCTACTTCACAATCAAACCCTTCGGGCAGGGGCTAAGACATTTGCTTTCTCTGTTTCTGGATGAGCGGGATAGCGGGCCCTTGATCTTGACTCACATCTACCTCCTCCTGGGCTTGTCCCTCCCCGTCTGGCTCTTCCCTAGACCTTGTGCCCCCAAAGGGACCTTACCCGGGGCGGGAGCTTTAGCTCCTTATTCCGGGGTGCTCTCCGTAGGCGTCGGGGACTCAATGGCCTCTGTTTTCGGCAGTACCCTGGGAGAAATCAAATGGCCGGGAACAAAGAAGACGTTCGAAGGGACCATGATGGCCATCTTTGCTCAGATCATTGCAGTCGCCCTCATCCTGATTTTCGACACCGCTGTGGACCTGAACGCCAGCTACGCCTGGATCTTGGCTTCTATTAGCTTGGTTTCCCTTCTCGAAGCCTACACGACCCAAGTGGACAATGTGATTCTGCCTCTCTACCTCCAGATTCTGCTGATGACTTAGGACCTGAGTGGGGATAAAAACGATCTCTCGGGGGGCGGGGGAAGATCCGTGCTCATTTGTGCTTTGGATGGCTTAAATAGGGATCATTGTGATGCACAGCGGATGTCACGGCTTGCGAAGCAGATCATTATGTCCAAACGATTGCTCTTGGATGAAAATCAGTATTGAAAGTGGGAATATGTCAGTGTTTCTGTCTGCAGTGGGCATTTTTAACTTTATGTCTGACACCACGCCAGCAGGGATGACAGTACTGGAGAGTCTCATAATTCCCTTTACATTGAAAGGCGTGTAGAAAGGGAATGAAAGCAGTAAAAACTCATCCAGTAGGTCCCCCGTATCTGTGGGGGAATCAGGCCCCAGGGTCTTTGGCAGATGCCGAAAAATGTGGAATATAGCAAATGCTATTTTAATAGCAAAGACGCTACATAGCATGGCTTCTGGCTCCCCCTAGTGGCCATTTTGAATAATATCAACCCTAGAAATCTATATGTCTAAGATTTTTCTTTTAATATTTTTAGACCAGCAATAAGTGAATCAGCAGATACTGATTCCGCAGATAAGGGAGTCCTATTGTAACACAGTTAATGCACTGGTTTGTATGGTTGAACAAACAGAATTTATTGCGCTAGGCAAGAGGCTTCCTCACGCAGCTGATGGAAATCATATATCACCTGCACAAAAACTATAAAATGCCACTGTGAAATTCACAGACAAACTTAATTTGTTGGCTTTCATTAACTAGAGCCTCCACCCAGATATCAGAAAACATGGAAATATTGAATGCTATACATAGCATGGTCTCTGGCATCCTCTAGTGGCCAGCTCTGGCAAATCCATCCTGGAAATACATATTTTTTCATTTAGTCTCTTTAGGCAGTGGATAAAGGAATTAGCGGATACTGATCCTGCAAATAGGAAGGGTCTTACTGTAGATGCAGAGCACAGGCCAGCCCAAAGCACAATAAACACAATACTGCTAAAAGACAGAGTAATTAAACTCGCGTTAAATGAGCACACAGTCCCCATTCCAAAATTTGCTCTTCTGTTGCTTCAGCTGTTTCAATATAAACAAACTTCAAAAGAAACGCAACACGTTTGATATGGAACTTGCATTAAAACCAATTTCCTGACTGGGAAAAATGAAGGGAAATTGGTTTTAGCAACAGATCAGAGCGATAGCTGTTTTGTTTTATCTAAAGTATTCGGAAGAGTTTCTAAGCAAAATAGTTTTCCAGGTTAAACAGCTGTTATTTTTTTTTAAAAAAAAAATACAAGATCCTGCTTTGGGTGAATATTTTCTTCCCTGATGATTATATGTCACTTCGTAAAGCGAAGATTTGTGATGTAATCGTGCCTGAAAAAAAGCCTAACCCTCAAGAACTTTCATGCCGTCCCATGGATTACAGGGTTCTAGGTGTTCCAGAATTTGTTGAGAGCAGCAGGAGAGGAGGAAGACCCCCATGTGAGATGGATTGACTCAGCAAATGAGACCACCGCGTTGATTTTGCAAGAGCTGAGCAGGACGGCTAAGGACTGGATGTTTCAGAGGTCACTCATTCCTGGGACCGGGGGTGATCCGACAGCAGGTAACAATAACTGTGCAGGATTATCTCCGAGATTGCAGCTCCATTGCAGCTCCACGCAGATTCTGGACCCTCTGCCCGCGCTCTCCATCCTGAGGGTTAATCTTCTCGTTCAAAGATGAAATCACGGTAGCCTGCAAACAGACCCGGGGGGTGTGTGTGCTCCCGTGCGCCAACCATTCCAGCGTCAAGGATCCCTCTTGTTAATTGTGAGTATACAGTGCTGGGAACGGCAGTTCGGGAGTAGGTTGAAGCCTGAAAGAAGAAAAAGAAGTGAAACCCAGATGGGCTGGAACACTGCCGAACGAAGCCACAAAGCGCATCGAAATTAAAAAATGCCACAGCAGCTTTTAAGAGTTTGCTTCCCAAATTCCAGAGAGCCAAGGGTATGACCTGATCCGAACCCCATTCCAACCGGGATCCTTGGATGGAGAACAACCCCCACCATTAGCCACAAAGCACACTGAAATTAAAAAATATCACAGCAGCTTTTAAGAGTTTCCTTCCCAAATTCCAGAGAGCCAAGGGTATGACCTGATCTGAACCCCATTCCGACCGGGATCCTCGGATGGAGAACAACCCCCACGATTAGCCCCATCGGCTTGGGCAATGAGCATTGTAGTCCAAGACCTCTATATATATCCTTCAGTGTTCGTTGAGCACTAAAGCCAATGAACACAGCGCCCATGAGGCCTCTCTGTGTCATGAACCGGGACTGTCCTTCTTACCAGTTCTCTGGGCTCCATGTGGTCTCCTTGGCTTCCATCAGATGGAAGGTGTAGACATGGCGGGAGCTTTCGGAGTGGTTTGGCTCACTTTTATGGACGACCTCACCATGGATCAGTACAAGACCACCTTTTTTTAAAAGAAGAAAAGAAATCAAATGGGACCCCCATATATGTGGGGGATTGGTAGCAAGACCCCCACGGATGCTGAGAACCGCGGATAATAGGGAACGCTCCCCACAGCATGGTAAAAGGGGGAATCACCATGGAGGTAGCAAGACCCCCACGGATGCTGAGAACTGCGGATAATAGGGAACACTCCCCATAGCATGGTAAAAGGGGGAATCACAATGGATTACCAGAAATGACTACTAGAGGGAGCCAGAGAGCAAGCTATGTATTCCTCCCCACCCCCTTGAAGATTGGATTTGGGGCATCTGAGTTACAGCCCTCCCCCAAAAAAGCAGTTTGCCCCTGGAAAACCCTTTTGGGACAGAAATATTCAGTTTTCCTTGGAATTAAATTCCTTTTACCTTTCCCAACGGGCACAGGAATGAACTGGCTATCCTCGTACGCCGGCTCGGTGCCCACAAACGCGGTGCAGGGGATCGTGCCGGGTGCTGTCCGGACCATTCTCCGTGTGATCCCTTCTATCACCCCGTAAAAGGCAGATAAAAACAGGAGGTCAGGATACCATGAAAGTTTTGGCTGACGGGGAAGCGACACTGGGTGACGGAGCCTGGGGACCGGCATCCCATTCCTTGAGAATTTGGGGCCAAAAACCTGAGACCGGGGGGGGGGCAGGCTCTCATGATATCACAGTGTGGAACGGTTGGGGCTTTTTGCAACCTCGCATGCAGCCTTTTTAGAATGTGTGGCCAGGGTGGCTGTCCATCAATCCCGGACTAACCAATCATTGTCTTCCCTGCCTCTGAATGCAAAGAGAGTCCTGCCCCTCTGGCTCAGTGCTTTCTCCCTCTCTGGAGCCTGTTGCTGAAAGCAGTCGTGTTTGTCCGTTTGCTGTTTAATCTGTTCGCAACGGTAAGTAGTGGAAATGTAGTAAATGTTCCGCAATATTTAAAAATATATATAAAACGAAACCAGATTTTCTTTCTATCCTCGCCCTCAACACAGTCTCGTCCATTTTCCAGAGGTGGAAAGGCCTGCGTGTGGGTTTCCTGGGATACCAAACTCTACCCCCCCATCCCTTGACTCTCTAAAGTCAAACATCTCCAATTTATTAGGATAAAAGCAGGATATGGCATTCTTCAATGTGAACAAGATGGCGTATAAAACGAAACCAGATTTTCTTTCTATCCTCGCCCTCAACACAGTCTCGTCCATTTTCCAGAGGTGGAAAGGCCTGCGTGTGGGTTTCCTGGGATACCAAACTCTACCCCCCCATCCCTTGACTCTCTAAAGTCAAACATCTCCAATTTATTAGGATAAAAGCAGGATATGGCATTCTTCAATGTGAACAAGATGGCGGATGACCCAACTCTCCCCCCCCCCCGACTCTCTAAAGTCAAACATCTCCAATTAATTAGGATAAAAGCAGGATATGGCGTTCTTCAATGTGAACAAGATGGCAGATGACCCAAATCGGGAAAGAAGGACAAACGCCACAAAACACTTACTCGTGTGAGAGCCCGGGATGAACCAGAGGCATCCGTTTTCTTGGGTTGCGTCTTCCAAGGCGATCCAAAAACCGAAAACCCTGCCCAGGGGTTCCGTATGGAGAAAGGTAGCGTCCTGATGGGGTGTCACTGAAAGCAAAAGGGGAAGCTTGGTTCAGACTCTGACTTAACCCGGGTTCAATCCTAGGTAGCTGGTTCGAGGTTCACTCTGCCTTCCGTCCTTCCCAGGTCAGTAAATTGAGGACCCATCTTGCTGGGGGGGGGGAGAGAGATAATGTGTAGCCTGCATAATTAAATTATAACGGAACTTGGACCCATTGTTCTGCAGCCATATTACAGCAAGATCCCCATATACACGGGATCGGTATCCGCTGATTCGCTTGTCCGCAGTCCAAAAATATTAAAAGAAAAGTCCTAGAAATAAATATAAAATGACATTACCAGAACTAGCCATTATGGGGAGCAAGAAGCCATGCTATGGATAGCGCTTCCTATCATCCACATTTTTCCGTATCCGCGAGGAACGATTGTTCCTCCTCCTACTCATGAGCAGGATGCCATGGTGGCTGTTTATTCTGTCCTGCAGCAACTTGAGCCTTTGACGTGGCAGCCCCAGCCTCTGCTCAGCTCCTGGCAGAACGGACTGGATGGCCCATTATTATTACTGAGCCATAACAATCAGTATTTTTTTTTATAGACAGCCTTTTCCCTCCTCACCTTCGCCTCCAATACCAGGTTGCTGTAAACGAAAAAGAGAAGTATTTCGTTAAGGCGGCCAATCCAGGAAAGCTTAGCCAAATAATGATTTATTTAAGCCATGAGATATAAGGTGAGAATACCTTGAAGATATACATGCTCTGTACGACGACGGGATTCTCGAGGCCCATGTTTTCCACCAGCAACTGCAAAACCATCCCAGGAGGGGCAAGAAGTTTTAGTTTATGCCTCGGTGCTCGCCAGATCCAAACGTTCGTAATTCAAGCCGCGACACTGTTGCAAATCTTAACCCGCATTCATAACACACGAGGGTGATAAACACATTTTCTGGCTGACATTTCCTAGAACTCACTTCCACCGAATATATAAACCATTCCACCCGTCTTTACAAAACTACCGCCAAAGATTGCAATTACAGGAGGACCCCCTTATCTGCGGACTCACTTATCCACAGTCTGAAAATATTAAAAGAAAAATCCCAGAAATATATACATATTTCAAGACGAAGTTTCCAGAACTGACCAGGAGAGGGAGCCAGAGACCATGCTATGAATACCATTCACTATTATCATCGTGTCCACTATAATCCGTGTATTTTCAGCACTTCTTGTTAATAAGCCTAGCATAGTTCCAGCCCTTCCAAATGGTCTTGTGTGCTCACCTGCACTTTGGGGGAATGAGTGATTTCCTTGAAGACAGGGTCGCGGGCATGTAAGGCTGAAAAACAGAAAATAAGGGGGAGAGAAAGAGAAGAGAGCGGAAAATAGCAATTACGGCTGTTTGTCGGGATTAGTTGTGGCAGCATAAAATAAATAAGGAGCTTCCACCCACGATTCCTCGAGATTCTCAGCCGCCCACCGGGATGCCGTTTCTTCGTCTATTCCAACTCACCGTGGCCGATTTTGTTAACGGACTTTTCTTTTGGCACGAGAAAATCTCCTAAGGAACAGAAAAGCGGATGTTAAGAATTCATCACGCGACAGGTGTGTTGACGGTGTACATGCAAACCTGGCGCTCCGCGAATCCCGTCTTAGGCACGTCATTGCCCTCTTTTATGGTGTGGCTGCAGTATTTGAAATTCAGAGCAACCCTGATTATGTTCGAGTCTTAATTTCCAACCTCGTCTGTTTTGCCTGTGGTTTGTGTGGCTGGGAGGAAATGAAGGCACGTCATTGCCCTCTTTTATGGTGTGTCTGCAGTATCTGAAATTCAGAGCAACCCTGATTATGTCCGAGTCTTAATTCCCAACCTCGCCTGTTTTGCCTCTGGTTTGTGTGAGTGGGAGGGAATGATCTGGGCTAGGGTGGCTGTCAATCTATCCAGCCCTAACCAATCATTCCTTCCTGCCTCTGAACTCAAAGAGAGCCCCGCCTCTCTGCTAAGGGTTTCTTTCCCTCTCTTGAGTCTCTCAAACCCGGCGTGGTTTGCTGTTGATCTGCTCGTAACTTAGGTCGTGTTGTTACAATATCATCACCGCAATGATCCTGTTTTAGAAAATGATTACCTTTTCCATCAAAAACACCTTTTTCGAAAAAGAATCTGATCTTGTCTCCGCTGGTAAGGAAATATTCTGCACTGCCCTGTTAAAGAGCCAAAATCAAAATTGTTAGCGTCATGATGAACATCGTTATTCTTTATCATTGAGTTTTGTGCCCTACTCAGAAAGCCAGCCACGGAGGAAAAGCTTGCCTGAAGATAAAGGGTCTGCTGGTGGAAGGACAGCCAAGGGGGGGGGCAGCTTAGTTTCCAGTGGCAGGGAGTTCCAAGCATCTGGGAGGAGAAGCCACCGAGAAGGCCCTCCTCTCCTGGGTCCCCACTAAATGCACCCATTTACCAGATCTGGCCACTAGAGGGAGCCAGAGATCATGCAATGTCCAATGTTCGACATTTTACATATTTTCCGGTATCCGCGGGGAGGGGGGATTTGGAACTGATCCCCCCACAGATAATGGGGGTCTTCCTGTATTTATTCCAAGAAAATCAATAATATACAAACACTGTGTCACCAACGCTGGCAATGAAGTTTCAAAATGACAACTGCCTCATCCACATGGGTTATGAACTTTCAAAGTGTTGATGAAATTAAGCAACAGAGAACAGTAACTAGTCTATACGGTAGAAAAATATACCTGCATCTTTTTTTCCCAAAAAGAGGCCAGCATGGTGGAGGAAGGAAAGATGGAAAAGCATCATTTTACCTTGAAAGCAAGCACTCTGGTTCTATATATCTATCTATTGATCTAGTGGAACTTCTTATCCGCGGGATCAGTATCCACTGATTTTCTCCACACCGTCTGAAGACGTTAAATAAAAATCCCATCTTTATATGTATTTCCAGGGTGTCTTGACCAGAACTGGCCGCCCTGCAAGTTTGGGAACAATGTGTGGATCTGCTTGGAATCTCTTGACACACCGTTTTTGGGTGTGTTAAAGGAGAATTACCTGCGCTTGGAGCTGTTCCTCTTCCTGGGTGGAAAACTCTGTCCGGCAGTGAGGGGGAACGTCCATGGCGTCCACGATCTTCTGGATCCGGGCCCTCATCGCGTCGCACTCTTGGAGGCTGAAGAATCGGTCCACAACGAGGAAGCCGTCTGTGTGGAACTGGGGGAATTAAAATGATAGATGATGGGACAAGCGGGTCCCTAAGGGTTCCCAGTGCATCGGTCCCCCAGGTCTTGAACGCCGGAAGGATCGGAAGGCAGACCCTCGCGATCTCCCTGCGTTGAGCCAGACCCGAGACCGGCATGGACCCTTGGCGCTAAACCCATCAGCCCTGGTGCAGGTGGTGAACAGCGAAAGACGGGTGCTGGGTTTTAAAGATGCCACCTCATGCTCAAGAACCCAGCTTGCTTGCTCCCTCCAGCAACACCGCTGGAGGACAACCTACAGAGGGCCATATCATCATCCTCATCTTAGGACTGCAGAGCTGGAAGGGACACCCTATGGCTCATCGAGGCCAGCTCGATGGAGTCACCATCCTGAGAGGATATTAAGGGCTTGATATGTGCAATTCCTACTTAAAGATGCCACCTCATGCTCAAGAACCCAACTTGCTTGCTCCCTCCAGCAACACTGACAGGATATTAAGGGCTTGATACATGCAATTCCTACATTACTCACAAATCTTCTTATATTAGATTGTTTTAATGTTAACACCAATATATAGCAACACTCTGTATTTATTCCTTACATTTATTTCTTATAATTTATCACTGCTGGATAGTTCAGTAGTTTAGGCATCTGACTGCGGAGCCAGAGGTTGGGGGTTCAATTCCCCCGCTGGGCCTCCTTGGCAGGACTTGATGATCTACAGCACTGGTTCTTAACCTTGGGTTACTCAGGAGTTTTGGACTGCAACTCCCAGAAGCCTTCACCGCCAGCTGTCCTGACTGGGGTTTCTGGGAGTTGCAGTTCAAAAGCATCCGAGTAACAAAGGTTAAGAACCACTGATCTACAGGATCCCTTCCAGCTCAGCCATTCTAAGATGATGATGCAAAACATCCAAAGTAGGGTTCAGTCATTTAGCTGGCTGGATAGCTCAGGGGGTTAGGGATCAGAGTTTGGGAGTTCAATTCCCCCCGCTGGGCCGCCTTGACAGAGGCTGGACTGGATGATCTTCCAGGTCCCTTCCAGCTCTGCCGTTCTAAGGTAATGAGGATTAAATCTTTAGCTCTTTGGAAGAATCTAAGGTTAGCGAACAGGGTTTGCTTGCTGTTTTTATTTACTCCATGCAGGATTACTCCAGGTTGAACATTAAAGGAAGCTGGCAATTCATGGGGCCCTGCTTGTTTCCACCCTTATGTGCTCGTACATTTGCAAAGAAGATTTGCAGAAGAGAATCCTAAGTATTCGCCCTTCCAAAAAATAAAATAAAAATACTTTCTTGGCACACTAAGAAATTATTCTCGCCGCTTGTGAAAATGACGAATGCTTAGCAGAGAAATACGACTCAATAGTTCTGCACAAAGGGGTTGTTTTCAATATACGGGCACAGAATGCAACTTTGATTTTCAGCTGAAACGGCCAGTCTAGGGACAGAGGTTTCCCCCCCCCTCTCTTTGGATTTCCAGCTGTTTGTTTGTTTTCTCTCTTTTTATCATCCTGAACGGCCAACCTTCTCAATTAAGGAATCTATTCCCTTCTGGACCGGTGGTTTGCCTTTTATAGAAACTAAGAAGATAATCTCTTGGCAGGGAAGGGGGCCGGTTTCAGAGTCAACAGACAAGCGTCTAAAGAAATCACGAAACGAGTTGCAGAGAGAAACTCAAACGCCCAAAATTATTTCGGGGAAAACATGTGTACGTCAAGAGCTGCGCAGGACTCAAATCTGAGTCTTAGCACCAAACCAGGGCCAAATATATTCTCTCCCCGGGAAAGAGGCTCATTTGCTAATTGGAAGCAATTTGATCATGCCAGTGAGCCACCCCTATGCGTTTCGGAGGAATCCCATTCACCCTGCTTACCTTACGGATCTGATCCTGAGTGACAGATGCCATGGAAGGGAAGTTGGTCAATCAGAAAAGCAAGCTTCGTCAACGTCCGGGGTCTTCTTCTGAGCAATTAAACAGCCAGTGTGCTCTTTGCTCCTGTGATTAAAGCCAGCATCATGTGATAAAAGCCAGAGAGAGGACAGGAAGGATGATGTGAACTCAGTGTTTTCAGGGGGGGGGCATGGGTGGACTTTGACATCTTTTGTTCCGGGCTCGGTCCGAACAGAAATGTTTGCGATTCGCCTCGTTTTGTAAACATCTGGACGTCCAATCTGTTATTTGCCCCCAAATTTTTGACAAGCGTGCAAAAGGCAGCGCGCGTAAAAATCAAAGCAATACAGAATGCAGCCCAGAAAACGTTAAGAGCGATAGTCAAACCAGTTAAAAGAATAAAATGCAACATCTGGAAGCGGATGCAGCGTAAACCAAGTTTTGGCTTTAATAGGTAGTCAGGAGCCGTTAGCTTGACCAAAGACCTGCCTTCCCGTCAAGACAAGCCCTGCAATTATTTTAATTACGTGGATCAGCTCATCTGCATCTGTCTGTTGGGAAATAAACGATGGGATGTCTTGGATTTGCCTCAACATTTAAAATATTTACTACAGTATTGTCTTAATGGTGCTTTAATATTTGTGGCTCTAGAGAGCTTCTCTCATGCCCTGCAAACATTCTGCTGTGGACTTTCCTGTTACAAATAGGAAAAGAAATCAGGATTTTTTTTTTCCCAGTATGACTTTCCCGAATTCTCCAGCCAGATTCTGGGAACAGTGGTTCCGAAAAGTAACTTTTCCAAGTTCAAGGGGGGGGGGACCCCTGTTGTTTTCAAACCAGATGTTTTAGTGTGATTTCCTTACCTTATTCATGGAGTTTTATAAGCAACCCTGCTGTTTTTTTTTCCACCCGACCCTTTTCTATACCTAAAAAACATTCAAAGTCACAAAAGCCGAGCTATTGCATGATGTGCTTATGTATTTCACTGTGTTTTATCGTGCAAGTCTCTGTGGTTTTATATTCTCATGGACGTTTGGGCTTACCGTATTTTTCGCTCCATAAGACGCACCAATTTTTTAGGAGAAGAAAACTGGAAAATATAATCTGTTTTCTTCGCTCCATAAGACACACAGACTTTCCACCCCCGTTTTGTGGGAAAAAAGTGTGTCTTATGGTGCGAAAAATACGGTGTTTTGTAATGGGCCTTATGATGTTTGCTTAGGGTTTAATGTTTTATGTTGTGAACCGACCCGAGTGTCCTCTGGCTAGACGGGTGGCATATAAATCAAATAAATAAATCAATTTAAACGTTTTTTTTTTAATAACAAGCCCCTGCCTGGACTCACCCTCAGTTTCTTCTTCCTTTTCCTTATATCCATGCTGTTCTTCTTCCTCTCTCCTGCCCATCGCATTTCTTGAACACAATATTTCGATAAAATCTCAAATTTAACAGCTCCAAGCAGCCCATCTAAGCTGGGGGGGGGGAAGAGAGCATTTATTAGCCGTTACCTTTTTTTTTTCCTGTGGATTCTCGGGCAACCTCCAGGTGCCCGGCCAAAAAACTGCTGATGATGGCTTTGTTTTTTAAGAGCCCCGAGGATGTTTATTCTCAAGGGACCTCTCCGAGAGAACAGTGTGTCTTGCCAAAAGCTTTCAATGCATTATCCCTAGATTTTTTTGAGGGGGGAAGCAAAAACAGAGAGCATGAAGGAACAGCCTGTGCTCCCTCCAAAGGCTCCCAGTAAATACATTTCCCAGACCCACGACCTTAAAGGGACGGTCAAAAGAGGCATCTTTAGGTAACCAGTCTAAGCTTTTCAGTGGCTGCAAAAAGAATTCATATTGTTTTTCAAACCACATGGGTCGTGTGAAGCCTTTTCCCTCTATACCTCCTCTGTGAATTGCGAGCAGAGAGACAAAAAAAGCACTTTTTCCCCTTCCAGGGTTGCCAACTTTCTCTACTTAGTCCCGCTCCTGTGCTTTTAACGGCCCCTCGAGAAGCAGAACGGACAGGTTTTTTTCCTTCCATAGCTTTCCTGAGAAGCTTCGCTTGCCCACGGGATCAGTATCTGCTGATTCACTTATCCGGTGCCTGAAAATATTAAATTTAAAAAACCCCAGAAATGAGTACAGTATTTATACGTATTTCCCGCCTGTATTTACAGGATGATCCCTAGCTCCCTCTAGTGGCCTGTTCTGGTAATATTTCCAGTTGTTTTTCTTTCAATATTTTCAGACTGCAGATGACTGAAACAGTGGATACCAAGGTCTGACTGTAATCGGTACTTTATCTCAGCGAGCTCTTGTTATCCAGAGTTAGAAGTATGCAGATTTGTGTTCTTGGGACTTGGATTCTGGAACGATTCGTCCAAAATCTGCAGTTTTGATTCTGAGACTTTGGTTAAAGGAGACGCTTTAAGTTAGCAGAGTTTTGCAAGAGTGTCGGGGGACTTAGAATCCTCTGCGGTCTTTCGAGGGGAAGCACACAAAAGCTTTCCAGACGGCAATTTTAAGCACCTTTGAGCAAACGGCAAGTCCCGCGACTGAACAGAACCAGCAACACTGGAAGTGGTTATCAAATGCCATTTACTGTGGTGTAGCGCAGATCATCTTGACATGATCCGAACCCCTGTGGTTGCTGTAAATTATGATATATATATTTTTTGGAAAAAGACAGACCCAGGAAAGTTTTTCCAGGAAATTCCACATAGCTTTATTTCACCTTGGAGGCCTGGCAAACATCGATTTGTGTGTTTTCCCAGCGTTGCTAAGTGTGCACGGGTCTTTCTCCTATTACATCAGACGGAGAAGAAAGTGAAGCAAGCAGTGGCTTCGATCCTCTTGACCACCACAAACATTTATGGGTAAAAACGAGAGAGAAGGGGTGCCCAAAGATTCCCAGACCTGTTTGGCCAAAATCAACACCTTCCCGGTAACTCTGCCCTTTTTTTCCTCTATAAAACCTCTTTTGCTTCGCCTTTAGGAAACCTGAACTACAAGATTCCCTCTTTTTTTCATTATCTGGAGCCGTTTCGAGCTGCAAGAGTTTGCTACAGACGGACGCCTCGCTTTGCAACGGAGGGGCGGCCGTTAAAAAGACGCCGCTCTATATACTGAACCCCAGTGCAAATTCTACCCATCAGGAGGGGTGCTTTTGTGTCTGATTTATGGGGGAAGACTTTGATCATCACATCTGGAAAGCCTGCTCACTTCATCCTTTCACCACAAACAAGACACAAGACTATTTTGGATCCATTCTCCGAGAGACGTAACCAAACCCCTTTCACTCCGGCGAGAATTCTTAGAGCAAATATACATATTTTATCCGTCGGCTACCCAAAAACCAGCAAAAAAAAAAATACAGACCAGCTGCTTTTTTTGGGGGGGGGAGGGGGAAATGACCATAAATGCAAAAGGAATAAGTCGCATTGTTTTAGCCCTATGGAAGATGTTGGGAAATCATCTAAAAGGGCCCTAAAGAGAGTATCAAAATTTTTTTTGGGAGGGGGGAATGACCATAAATGCAAAAGGAATTAAGTCTCATCATTTTAGCCCTATGGAAGATGTTGGGGAAATCATCGAAAAGGGCCCTAAAGAGAGTATCAGAGAAGACCAATGTCATTTAATTTTGTTATATGTTTAGTGTTTTTTTTTTCATCAGCCACGTTCCTGCCCAAGGCAATTTCTGAAAGTGACCACAGTGTTTCAGATGGAAAGAAAAAAAAAAGGACATTTAAAATAATAATAATAAAAAAACTTAGTCCAAACAACACCCTGGGAATTGCTACACTAGTATGTTTATCCCTTCTGGTTATGGGTTCAATCCTCGAGCAAAGCAACGAAGAGGGGGGGACATACAAAATTCCTAATTTCAAAATATGATATGCCTGAGCTGTGTGTGTGTGTTTTATGACAGTATAAAAGAAAGTCAGATGATTAACTAGGACAATCTGAACAAGAACGGCTGCAGTTGTGTTTTTTTGTTTGAAACATGGACACCCTCAATATTCTGGAAAGGAAAAGAAAAGGGAAGAGGGGTTGATCTCTTGACATCCTGATTTGCCAAGAGGTACGTTGGTGCGTCGCTCTATTTGACGTCGTTCCCCTCCCCCCCCCGGTGTAGTCAACAAGCTGAACGTGGTTCATATCTTCAGGCTGTACAATAGCAGAAAAGCTCAGTTCCTCCTGGTAGGAGCCCCAGCAGAGATGAGGACGCAGCAGCAGCAGCAGGCAGCCGCCCGAGAGGAGCACGGCAGACACCCTCGTCGGATCCGGAGGCAGTGCCTTGTGAGGTCCGCTAGAACACGGCGCTCGGCTGCAGTCCCCTTTTCCTGGCGGTGACAGCAGAAGCATCCCGCTTCCTGTCCTCCGGGCCTAACTTCCTGTTGTCCAGGCCCGGCTTCCTGTCCTAGCCACGGCAGGCAGCCAACCAGTCCTCGTCCTGACCCGTGGCCAGCACCACCACCACCACCACCTCCCCCTCTGTGTCCATCGGGCCGAAGGAGCCGGCGACTCCCATCTTACCCCTTCTGGACCGTTCTTGGGTCAGGATTCTGCCCGGGAGGTTCTCCGGGGGGTGGGTGGGGAGAGAGAGAACGCAGGAGCAGGGGGACGGCCGGGGTCTCCCCGGACGGTTTGGACGGAGGCCCTCGGCTTTCTCCTTCCCACCCTCGGCGGAGACTCAGGCCTGCTCCTTGTCGGCCCGCCACAGGCGCTCCTTCACCTCCAAGGGGAGGGTGTTGAAGAGGTCCTCTTCCACCACCAGCCCGCTGCGCTTCAGCAAAGGGCAGTCGCCCAGCTCCACCGGCAGGCACTCCAAGCGGTTCCCCCGCAGCTCGATCTGAGAGAGGTTCGCCAGCTCGCCCACCCGGGACGGGAGGGACTGCAAGACGTTGTTCCCCAGGTGCAACGTCCGAAGCTTGCGGCACTGAAAGAGCTCGGCGGGGAGGGTCTCGATCTGGAGGGAGAGACAAGGCAGAGGCAGAGAGGTTACACATCAGGCAAAGCAACCAGGACACCAACAGGAGCGTCTCCGACAGCATTCTCAGGAGAAGACGCTTCCCACGTTTCAAGCTCTCCAGGACAGTCAGGAAGACTGGCAAATCAGGCTTGTCGCCCCACGCAATGAACTAGTCCTCAAGGGACTAGCAACGCTGGGGACTAAACGGATCGCGTTTCTGCATGCTAGGAATCGCGGGACAGGACAGTGGGAAGGAGCTCGAAGATCATTGGTTCCAAGCCTAGCCTTGCAGAAGCTGAAAAATGTAAAAAGCGAATGCTAATATAACAGCAAAAATTATGCATTGTGTGGTCTCTGGCTCCCTACAGTAGCCAGTTCTAGTAACTTCATGGTTAAAACATGTATTTCTAGGATTTTTATTTTAATCTTTTAAGACCATGGATAAGCAAATCAGTGGATACTGATCCCGCGGATAAAAGGATCCTACTGTACCCACTTTAGCTCCAGCGCCCCTTGTCATCCCGTCAGTGGATACTGATCCCACGGATAAGGGGATCCTACTGTACCCATTTTTGCTCCAGCGCCCCTTGTCATCCCAGTTCTAGGCACAGAGAGAGGGAGAGTGCCCCAGACACAGCCTTGAGCCCACAAGGAAGAACAATAAATGGATGATTTGATGGAGTTTTAATTGGATTCAAACACAACTTTCCTCTTAACTATTTGACCAAGCTCTGTTTTCCTCTCCTCTCTCTCTTTTTTAAAAAAAAAACTGTTTTTCTGTTGTCTTCAGCAGGGCATTAAACCCTTAAGAACCACCGTTTTTTAACGTCTGTGTCTCCGAGCCAACCCTCCCAAAGGCTCTCCCCCCCCCGCCCAAAATGACGGCTGCTGCTTTAATTAAGATGCGCCCTGGAGAAATCAATCGGTCACGGAGTGTTCCCAGTAAAACAAAGCATGATAGAAAACAG